CAAGTACAACTAAAAATGTTTCTATGTAAAAGCCACAATAAAGTCAAATGAAATACTAGATAACAGTCTTAAAAATTGGTCTTTCTTGGGAGTTCCCAAGAGAATAACAACAGTAATGTGATTCTAAGAAATGCCTTCTTCTTGATCAATCATCTCTGTTTTAACTGAAAATACATCTGCTAGCATATGTTTTGGAATTTCTGAACCTCTGACTTTCAAGGCATAGCAAGCATTCTCCACTTTGGCCAGACTTTGTTTCAAGGTATACAACTTCTTAGAAACCTCGTACGGTCCGGTGTTGCCAATGAATGAAAACCCATCATAAACCTGACGTAAAAACTGGCTCACTTCAAAGGGGGTGTCGATATCCCCATTCCCCACACTGTTAATACACATCCGCATCAACTCTCCAGTTAAATCAGCCACTCCCAGAAGATAATCAACAGGTGTGACTTTCAGTCTCCAAGTACCAAATTGCTTATCCTGTGCATCAGAGGAAGGCTGGTAAAAGACAAAACAAAAACAACACACACACAAAGAAAATACACTGTGAAAAATAGTAAATATGGCAAGTATCACATTTATTATAAACTACAAAACTAATAGCAGATAAGTCATACTAATTTTTTCTAAATAAAACAACCTATTTTGCTTAATAACTATGTAAGATGTCACAAGAGGAATCCATGCCCTGGATAGGGAGTTGAACCCGATGACTTCCAGATGCTTTTTAAATCTAGTACTTATTATTATAAAACCCATTTCCAACTTCACTCAACACCTAAAATGAACACATTCTGAAACAAGACTTAATGACTGTATTGCATGACACTCACTTATTTAAATGGCAAATAATCAGGACCTCCAAGCTTATGATCCATCCATGTTTCCCTAAGTCATTTGGTCCCTTTCTGGCTTCTTGTCTTCCCCTACTTAGCACTGGCCTTCACAATTTATTACTCTCTCACTGTATCCTTGATTCCCTGGGACTCCTGTATTTTCTACTGCAACTGCCCAGCAAAAACAGAATCCTCAGTCAACACTAACATCTACTCATTAGTCCTTAATCCAGGTGGCTGAGTAATACTGAGTTGAAAAATTATTACTGTAACTGCATAAAGCTTTTATCACTACAAGTTACTCACCAATCCTCTTATTTACTCTTAAATGGTTCTCTCGTCAGCCTCTTCCAACAATTGCAAACTTTCCCTGCTCTTCTCAGTCCCCTAGTCAATCCCAAACCTCTTCACCTTCAGAACACAGTCTTGCCCAATTCCACTGACCTGGTCGCTTGCCAGATCACCTCGCACAACCTCTACCTTTACCTCTACCCAAAAACCACTACTGACAGCCACATCCATTTTACCTTCTAGACTCCAGTCTCAGATGATGAGTTGTCCCTCCTCTTGTCTGAGGTTAACTCTTCCAAATGACCTTGACCCATCTCCTCCCACCTCTTCCGGGACCTTGCTTCATAAGGGGTATGCCCTTGGGCAAGTTATTTCATCTCTCTAAACCTCAGTTTCCTCATCTGTAAAATGGGATAACAGTACCTACCTCAGAGGTTTATTTTAAGGATCAAATGAGATAACATTATCAAGTCCTTGGCAACATAAAATACTCAATAAATATTTGCCACTATCATCTTTATCATCATTATGTAAATTTCCTCCCTCCACATCAATTTCTCTTTCTTTATTGTGTTCTTTCTGGTAGAGGTGATGCCTAAATTGCCATTTATTTATTTTTTTTCCATAATCAATATTTTTTATTATGGTTTTGTGGCTAAATTGTTATTAAAAGACGGCAAAGTTGCAATTACATCAGAAGGCATTTCAGGCAGTAGAAACTAAAAAGGCATGCAGTAGGTAAGAACTGTGTTGTGTGTATTTAAAGAACTAGTGGCATTTCTTTTTTTTTTTTTGAGTTGGAGTCTCACTCTGTCGCCCAGACTGGAGTGCAGTGGCCACTCCCGGCCACCGCAGCCTCAACCTGCTGGGCTCCAGCGATCCTTCCGCCTCAGCCTTCCAAGTAGCTGGAACTAAAGGCGTGCGCTACCACGCCCGGCTCATTTTTTATTTATTGTAGAGATAAGGTCTCGGTCTGCCCAGGCGGGTCTCGAACCTGCGGGCTCAGGCAATCCAATCACCAAAGGCGGGGGATTACAGGCTGAGCCACCGAGCCCGGCTTGTGACATTTCTTTTGAGTAAAGTTTATTTATCTATTTATTTTTGAGCTGGAGTCTAATTCTGCCACCCAGGCTGGAGTGCAGTGGCAAACTCACAGCTACCATAGCCTCGACTGCTGTGCTCAGGTAATCCTTCCGCCTCAGCCTCCAAGTAGCTGGAACTACAAGCAGGCGCAGCACCTTGTGATTTTTTTGATATATTGTAGAGACGAGGTCTCTCCAAGCTATCCAGGCTGGTCTCAAACCTCTGGGCTCAAGCTATCCTCTCGTCTTGGCCTTCCAAAGTGCTGGGATTACAGGTGTGAACCACTGTGCCCAGCTTCTTTTGAGTAAAGTTTAAGGCGTAGTACAAGATGAGACTAGGGAGATAGCTTTATTAAGATCACGCTGGTTGCTCTGTGTCCAATACATGAATCCTAACACTGTCTGGACTCTTCGGACATCATTTGGTACAATGCCCTCATCACATAAGAATGAGGCCTAAGAAACATCACAGGTAATAAAGCTTCTTAATTGCACTTTTCTATTTCTCTCTACTTATATATATGTTTGAAATTTTTCATAATACAAAACTTTTTTGTAAAATAAATGTAATGGTTTTGACGATATTTTCAACAGGCGGTTCGGAACAAAATACCCTGTCAAATTCCCAAAACTTTTAGTACCAATCACCAAGAAGCTTTAGAACTGTAAGAAAAAATTACTTATGAATGTGGTCTTAACCATCTGAAAATATATATGAATATTGTAACATCATAATCTTAGAATAATTTAGTGTCTAAGTTCTGAAAACAGTACATTTACTCTATGTTTTGTGGCCTTTCCCCTAGTATCTTTCATTTTGATTTCGAGAATGTGAAAGGAAGGTATGGTAACTTTCCTAACGCTATTATTTTTTTTCTTCTTTTTTATTTTTTGAGTTGGAGTCTCACTCTTGTCACCCAGGCTGGAGAGTAGCAGCAGGCTCACAGCCACCATGGCCTTGATGTGGTGGGCTTAGGCGATCCTCCAACCTAGCTGGAACAACAGATGCATATCACCACACCCAGCTAATTTTTGTGATTTGTTGTAGAGATGAGTTCTCGCCAAGTTGCCCAGGCTGGTCTCGAACCCCTGGGCTCACAGTCAATCCTCTCACCTTGGCCTCCCAAAGTGCTGAGATTGCAGGTTGAGCCACCGCACCTGGCCCCTAATGTTATTTTTTTCAGAGTCTGAATCTCATTCTGTCACCCAGGCTGGAGTACAACAGCACACTCACGGTCACCGCAACTTTGACCTACTGGGCTCAGGAGATTCTTCCACCTCAGCCTTCCAAGTAGCTTGAACCACAGGCATGCGCCATCACACTTGGCTAATTTTTTTTAAAATTTATTGTATAGACGAGGTCTCACCAAGTTGCCCAGACTGGTCTCAAACTCCTGGACTCGGGCAGTTCTCTTGCCTCAGGCTCCTGAAGTGCTGGCATTACAGGCTTGAGCCACTGCACCCGGCCCTAATGTTACTTTAAAATCAGGTCTAGCCAAGATGCCCAGGCTCTTTTCAAACTTGTGGACTGCCAGAGCCCACAGGCCCGAGAACAGCCTGGGCAACTTGGCAAAACCTGATCTCTACGAAAAATCAAAAAATTCACCGGACATGGCAGCGTGCACCTGTAGTTCCGGCTACTTGGAAGGTTGAGGCAGAAGGATAGCCAGAGCCCAGAAGGTCGACAGTGGGGTAGCGGCCACTGCACTCCAGCCATGAGTGGCCACTGCACTCCAGCCTAGGCAACAGAATGAGACTCCAACTCAAAAAAAAAACAAAAAACAGCAAGCTAAGTGACAAAGGCTTATTTTACTTCTTCCTGTAATTCAATCTACACTAAATGAATCAAGGATATGAAGGAATTTTATTCCTCAAAATGAACTTCCTCTGTAATAAACTTCCTATAATTTTAAAAATTAATAGGTGGCTTCCTTAAAGTAAGTTATACCTGTCATGCCAAATTAGTCTTATTTTGTATTTTAACATTTTATTTGATATTTAAGAAAATATTATTTCTATTCCATCTCCTCCCTACCTATACTGAATCGCTGAGTGGTGCTTTAAAAAAATAATGTAAAAAATTATTTATCTTCTAGTATTTCCAAAAAGGTATCAAATATTCAGACCAGAACAATTCTCATTATGTAATAACCACTTTATATTAACAAACTATTGAGCACTTATGTGTCAAGTGCTAGACAACACCTAACTAAAAACCTTTAAAGTCAAATCCTTTAATACAACCCTTTGAGGCAGGTACCTGACGCAAGGAATCCCTGTACCACACTTTGACAAGCACTGGCAGAGTGGACAAGGGCACAGGCTTAGATTCAAAATATCTAGTTTCAAATCTTAGCTCTGTCACAATTTTTACAGTGTGGTTTCTGTTAAATTACCTTCTAAAACCTGCTTCTTTCTCGGTAAAATGAGAGTAGCAATTCTTACTTCATATGGGTATAAAAAAAATTAAATGAGATAGTGCTTATAAAGGGCACATTTAAAAACACATAGTAAAACCGAAAGACTCAGTATAATCACTCAATAACGCTTTAGGTGAAGAGAGTTACTGTCCCCAACAACTCACAGTTGTTCTTGTTTTATTCACTAACTGAAATATTTAAAAAGACTATTTTCCTAGTTGAGAATCTATGAAACCACATGCTAGAAAGAACATTCTTATCTCAATCTTATTAGCATTATAGGCCAATAAATTCCCTGCAGTCATTATGCTGCTATATAAACTATATAATAAATGTGAAATATGATTTTAAATTCTCACGGTCTTATTTTCTTTCCCACTATCTTCTGTTGTAAATATCAACTGCTTATTAATTTCATCCATGCTGATTAATGATCGTGTTTTGATGAAGTGTTGAAAAGAGACAGCTTCCACATATTCCTGCAGTCCTGAAAAACCAACAAGAAAGTTACTCAGAACAGTGCCAAATTAATAAGAATGTCCTAATAAAAAACCTCCACTAGAGCCTCATCTAGCACAACAAAAGCTTAATGGACGCCTAGTATAACGCTGGCACTAGACCACACACGCAGAATACAAAGAAACACCTGAGGATAGGTGGCTGGGATTAGCACTGAACACAGCAAAAGTTTCTTTAACAGCTCAAATACAGATGTATTAGTCTTCTTCTTACTTCTTGAATCATTACTCTTAACAATCTACTTTTTCCTACAGAGAAATATCAAAGATATTTTCAGAAAAAATTTTTTTAAAGAATTAAGAAAGGAGCCGGAGGTGGTGGCTCACAGCTATAATCCCAGCACTTTGGGAGGCTGAGAGAGGAGGACTGCTTGAGCCCAGGAATTCAAGACCAGCCTAGGCAACAAAGTAAGACCACTTGTCTACAAAAAAAAAAAAAAGACATGCATGGTGGTGCACGCTTGTAGTACCAGCTACTTGGGAGGCTGAGGTAGAAGGATCACCTGAGCTCAGGAGTCATGTCTATGGGGAGCCATGATCATGCCACTGCACTCCAGCCTGGGTAATAGTTGAGTGAGACCCCAACTCAAAAAATAAAGAAATAGGCCGGGCTTGGTAGCTCAGCCTGTAATCCCAGCACTTTCAGAGGCCAAGGTAAGTGGATTGCTTGAGCCTGCAGATTCAAGTCCCACCTGGGCAACTTGGCAAGACCTCAGCTCTACAATAAATCAAAAAATATTAGCCAGGCGTGGTAGCGTGCGCTTGTAGTTCCAGCTACTTGGAAGGCTGAGACAGAAGGATCGCCAGAGCCCAGCAGGTTGAGGCTGTGGTGGCTGGGAGCGGCCACTGCACTCCAGTCTGGGCGACAGAGTGAGACTCCAACTCAAAAAATAAATAAATAAAATTAACAAATAAAGCGAATTAGGGAAAATAAACAAATAAAGCTAATTAGGGAAAATAAATAAATAAAATAAACAAATAAAGCGAATTAGGGAAAGGCTATCTATGATAGGTTTTACCAGAAAGAGTAAATTACATTTTGCTTCCTTAAGCAGCAAAACAGAACAATGATGCAATCAAATATAAAATCAAGGTTCATTTGACTCTTTCTTAAAATACTGATAGGCAAAATTACTCTAAATAATGTAGGTAAAAGTGTCAAAATACAAAATTCTGTGTGTCTCGTCATATTTCAAAATGGATCTAAGAAGAATAGATAACACCTTTCGGCTTTAGTAATTTAAGTTTTTTTTTTAAAAGCTAAGAAATACAATTTTGTACCAGACATAAATTCTAAAAACAAAAACCCAAAGCAGACACGCTTGAATAAAAAACAAACCTTGGCAAAGATCAAAAGAGTATTGCAAATACCTTTTAAAAAATTTGTATAAATTTAAGGGGTGGTTCAAGTGCAATTTTGTCACATGGCTATAGTACTATAAATACTTTTTCAAGTTTTAAAACAACGAAATTCTATAGCCACAATTTTAAATATTGTTTTATTATGTCTTAATGCATAACGTGATAAAGGGAAAAAGAATTTCTTTGTGTTTTTTTTTTTTTTTTGAGCTGTAGTCTCACTCTGTCGCCCAGCTAGAGTGCAGTGGCACGCTCACGGCCACCACAGCCTCGACCTGCTGGGCTCAGGAGATCCTTCTGCCTCAGCCTTCCAAGTAGCCAGAAATACAGACGCATGCCACCACGCTCAACTAGTTGTGATTTACTGTAGAGATGAGGTCTCACCAAATTATTCAAGCTGGTTTTGAACTCCGGGGCGCAGGTAATCCTCTCACCTAGGCCTCCCAAAGTGCTGGGATTGCAGGCTGAGCCACCACGCCCAGCCTTGCCTTTTTAATATACAAGTATAACTACAACCACATCATTCTCTGTTTAAAGCACAAATAACTTCCCATGGTTCTTAGAATACAGAGCAAAATCATTAACTATAATGATTACAGTAACATTAAATCATTACAGGCAACTGCAGCACAATGGTAAGTGTCTGTGTGTCTAAACATATCTAAACATAGAAAAGGTACAGTAAAAACTACGGTATTATAATCTTATGGGACCACTGTAATACATGTGGTCTGTCACTGAAACGTCATTATGGAGCACATGATCGTGTTTCAAGACATATCCTGTCCCCAAATCTTACTACTTGGCTTACATTTCAGGATCATGTTGAGCAAAATATAGAACTGCTTTAAATGTTAGACTCAAACACCAGTGGTAAGGTGCATGTCCTACACATGGCAACTGATATGGAAGGAGATGGTAAAAAAAAATTAACTGTCAGCTCAAGATGGCGCGCGTATTCTTCTGAGTCATTGTGCTAATGACTGACCAAGCAATCATTCTCTCACTTAATGGGTATGAGCCTGTGTAAACTCATAACTGCCTGGTTCACTGCAATATCCCTGGTAACATAATAAGCACAAAAATCACTAAAAGAGGTGCATCCACTAAAAAACTAATGGCAATTTAAAATTACATTTTATGGCCGGGTTCGGTGGCTCAGTCTGTAATCCCAGTACTTTGGGAGGCCGAGGCAAATAGATTGCCTGAGCCCGCGGGTTCGAAACCAGCCCATGCACCTTGGCAAGACCTCATCTCTACGACAAAGTTTTAAAAAATTTAGCCGGGCATGGATCACTGGAGCCCAGCAGGTTGACGCTGGGGTGGCCGGCAGTATGCCACTGCACTCCAGCCTGGGCAACAGAGTAAGATTCCAACTCAAAAAAAAAGTTACATTTTATAAGAACATGTAATAAACACGAAAATGCCTGCTGTGAAATAACACAAAATACAATGAAAGAACGGATACAGGGTTTCCACTTTGGAGAGGGGAAAAGTTCTAGAGATGGACGATGATGACGGCTGCAAAAGCATGTGCGTGCACTAAATGCCACAGAAATGTACACTTATAAATAGCTGAAATGGTAAGTTTTATGTTAGGTACTTTATGCCACAGTGGGGTTTTTTTTTGCTTTGTTTTGAGTCAGGGTCTCATTCTGCCACCCAGGCTGAAGTGTAGGGGCACGAGCATGGCTCACTGTAGCCTCAAACTCCTGGGCTCAAGTGTCCTCCCTCCTCAGCCTCTCAAGTAGCTCAGACTACAGGTGCATGCCACCATAACTGGCATATTTTTTTGTAAAAAATACCTTGGCACGCTCACGGCCTCCCCAGCGTCAGCCTGCTGGGCTCAGGCGATCCTTCTGCCTCAGCCTTCCAAATAGCTGAACTACAGGCATGTGCCACCATGCCCAGCTAATATATATATCCCTGGACACAGGCAATCCTCCCGCCTCGGCCTCCCAAAGTGCTAGGATTACAGGCTTGAGCCACCGCACCCAGCCTCTTTTCTTAATGTCAACACTTACAGCTATAAATTTCCACTGCTTGTTAAAGTCCATAGGTTTCAGAATGCTGTATTTCATTTCAAATACAATCTCTCTCTCCCTTTCTTAAATTTCTATTTCTAGGCTGTCCCATGTTTCTGGCACAGTCGTCAGCATGAACAACAAGCCTGCTTTCTAAGCTGGGGTTTAGTATCAGCTCACCACTTGACTGCAACAAAGAACTGGTCAGATGCAGTAGCAGGTGGCTAAAAATACAAGCTCTTTTATATAGCAGATGTTCAACATTTTGTTTGTATTTGTCTGAAGATTCTATGACTGAATATTTGCTGCTGATCTAGTTAGTAGAAGATCAAACCATTGGCTAATACACCAATTTTATGAGATCAAGCTTCAGTTTTCTTAAAGTGACATAAAAGTTTTATAAGATGGTATTAACTTTACAGCCATACTTAGAAAAAAACTAGATGCACTCCCCTAAACAATGCTGTTCATCCTGTTTGTTGATTTTAATATTATTTCATATGTAGCTGTTGATAAAATCACAAACACTTCAGCAATAATAATGATTTTTTAAATATCATTCAGAAGCGCCTTGGTGCAGAAGCAAATGGCATTTGTTTGGTTGCTATATAACTTAGTTTCATTAAGATGGACTTTTTTTTCATATTTCAGTAGGAAGAATAATTCATAATTTTCCAAATTTGAAAAGTGCCATAGAGATCATGGTGTCTAGTACTTTGTTTTACAAGTGAGACCCAGACCTGGAAGTTAGTTGTAATTAGTTAATTTTAACAACTACAAATCTTTTTTTTCACAGTCCATTACATCTGATATAAAAATCATTTTAAAAATATATATTCACTGGGTGTGGTGGCTCATGCCTGTAATCCCACATTTTGGGAGGCCAAGGCAAGAGGACTACTTGAGCCTGGAAGCCAGCACATATACTAAAATTCGAACGATACAGAGAAGATTAGCATGGCCCCTGCGCAAAGATGACATGAAAATTCGTGAAGTGTTCCATATTTTCAAACTGCCAGGGGAGGGTAGGGGCAGGATTTGCAGTAGTGGGAAACTGCCAGAGAAAGGGGGACACACTTCATCAACAAGGGTACCTGCATAATGAACATTTGCATACCTACCCCTGAATTATAGTTCACATCTTTAAAATTTAAAAACAAAAAACAAAAAAACCCACATTTCCATACTTTGAATTGATTCATGTGGATAAAATAACTTTTTACAACCAATAAATCTGGACATATTTTTTTCCCATTGAAAAAGGATATTTTACCATATATGTTACGATTATTATTATCTTTGTTAAATAACATTCATTTAGAACAGGAGTAGTTTTAGAAATATTGTACCAGTCAGGTGCAGTGGCTCAAGCCTGTAATCACAGTACTTTGGGAGGCAGAGGCAAGAGGACTGCCTGAGTCCCGGGGTTCAAGACCAGCCTGGGCAACTTGGCGAGACCTCCTCTCCACAATTAATCAAAAAATTAACCGGGTGTGGGTGCATGCGCCAGTGGTTCCAGCTATTTGGAAGGCTAAGGTGAAAGGATCACCTGAGCCCAACAGCTGGAGGCTGCGGAGATTGTCAGC